GATGCTATCAAGGAGATGATTGTTGTTGACTAGGTGACAAAATATATGATGGCCAAATCCCTTGTGTGTATGTCTTAGGTAATGGGGTAGCATGGCTGGTGCATAATACACCTTTTGGAAACACAACAGAGCACAAAGAGAAAAGTATCTCAAGACACAGAAGGAAACACCTAAGAAAAAGCAAACTGTGGTTGTGCTGCTGTGTTGCTCCTTTTTCTCTATAAAGTTCTATATAAGTAGTACCATGAAGGCTAGTTTCAAGCATGAGCAGTGGACGGCCCTGATTATCTCTACTTTTATGTGCTGGCTATGGGCAGCTCCAGCATGAAAGAGAGGCTAATGTTAGTGCAGTACTCAAGGTTATTGTTTGTAGCTGCTCAATTACTATAGAGCTCAGCAGCACTGCCTTCTTTTCCTACTAAAGCATCAGATGAAGAAAAATGATAATTTAATTCTAAATTCCTAACTCTAAGTCTTTACCAATATGATAATTTAAAAAGTGATATCTGACTTTCAGTTCTCCTTAAATTTTTTTCTTACTTACAAAAGATAATGTCCATGCTATACCAGACTAGAAAGTATTCATCATAGTAAACCTGCTCCTATAAGAAAGAGTTAGTACACATAGGATCAGTATTTTTTTTAAAAAAATAGGTATTTACAAAAAGCCTTAAAGTTTCAAAGTATCATACATAAATTATCTCATCTGATTCTCACAGTCATCTTGTGAGATATTACAGGTATTACAATCCCCATTTTATAGATCGGGAAACTGAGGCTAAAAGAAATTAAGTAACCTGCTCATGGTCACATAGTTCATAAGTATGAGAGATAGGATTCAAACCCATGTCCTCCACTCTACCTACTACACTATGCAATTGAAAAAATCAAATAAACTCAAAAACCGTATGTTGGAGGGAAGTCTTTAAAAAAAAAGTTACAGAAAGTAAATGTCCAGGGGCAGCTAGGTGGTGCAGTGGATAGAGCACCCATCCTGGTCAGGAGGACCTGAGTTCAAATCCGGATCTCAGACCAGACACTTGACACTTACTACCTGTGTGACCCTGCCAAGTCACTTGCCCCAATTGCCTAAAGAAAAAAAAAAAGAAAGCAAATGCCCATTAACTAGAAAATGGCTACACAAGTTGTGGTACCCGAAAGTAATGGGATATTACTGTGCTGTAAGAAATGATTATGGAATAGTATAGAAAAACTTAAATGAACTGATACAAAGTGAAATAAGTAGAGCCAAGAAACAACATATACGATGACTACAACAACGTAAATGGAAACAATAATAAAACTGAAAGTGAATGCCACAGGATTACAAAGAATAAGCATAGTCACAAAGAAGAGATATAAGACATCTCTCCCCACTCCTCTGTAGAAGGGAGGTCCAAAGATACGGAATACTTCAAATATTTCAGAATTTTTTGATGCTTTGATTAGTTTTGTTTATTTTTTCCTTCTTCATCTTTTTATCTTATTTATTATATTTATATTTCCTGTCACAGGGGATAGAAATGGGAAGGTATACTAGAAGAAATTTAGGTGATGTAAAAACAAAAAATAAACAAAAATTTATTTAAAAATGTATAAAACAGGTTACATTCTTTTTTAAAAATTAAATTCTTTTCAATAAATGAAATCCACCAGAAGGTTACATTCTACAACCTTCATAACCTCCTAAAATTTAATAAAAACTGACAACTAAAGCCACTATTAAAAATGTATAATTAGAAGATACTTAACATTTTCATTCACAATAATTTAAAATTTTCTTAGGAAAATTGATATGACACTGACATAGCTTAAAACACTGATATTTAAAGATAATACTCTCCTTAAATTTAAAAAAATACTTTAACCATTTGCCCACAACAAACTATAGGCAGGGAACATATGTTTAAATGTCTTATACGTAGGAAACATTTTATAAATGGATTGTTTGTTGAAGTGGGAATGTTGCCTGGATTGTTTGACCCACAGAATCACTAATGGATGTTCTCTTTGCCAACAAAAGTCTCTTGGGATAAGTAAGTCAAAAACATAAATTCCCTGCTGTCTTTTTCCACCTAAAGCATCCCAGACACAAATGGCAGGGACTGAAGAAAGGAGATAATCTTTCCCTCCCCCACTTACAGCTTAGAGTTTAAGGTGGGGAAAGAAAGTGTTTCCTCTTTATTATGAACCTCTGCTAGACTGCAAGGTTACTACGACTTTTTGTTGTTTACAAACAACAAACAGATAATATCCTGGCTCACCCTCCCAATGTCACATCATATCCACCTGATTGTATCTTCTACTTCTAATGGACGAGGGTTAGAATTTAAGCCATAAATGGGCTATTATATAAATCTATTAAATTTAAATATTCCAGTTACAGAGCTAACCAAGGTAGTTGGTATATATCAGTACCACAGATGAAGTGTAACTAGAAAGTATCATGTAACTATTAAAAAACATTCTGTAAGTCACACAGAAATTTTCACTACTCTTTATTAAGTGTACTCTATGCATGTACCTTTGTAAATTTATGTTATATTCTAAGAACTGATAAAATATAAAGATGACCCTTTCTGGTGATTATGCTTGTGTAGTTGGTAAGAATTTGTGTGATCTTCGAACATAAGAAAGACTTAGCTCTTCTTTTTATCCCATATAATGATTTATCCCACATAATGATTTTTCACAAACATTCATTTTCCATACTAGGTAACAAATTTGATACAAGTACATAACCACGTTTTGAGATAACATTAAATGTGAAAGTATAGGTGGATGAACAAAAGAGTGGGAAGATTAAATGCTTATATAAAAAAACAGATTTTGATTTAATAGGAATTCATAAAAACTCTTTGGGAGAAAAACCCATAAAAACTGTAAAAAAAATTATTGCTATAAAATATGAATAAACAACAAATAAAAATATAAAATGAATAAGATAAACCATCTACTATAGTGCTGAGCATATAGTAGGATATTTGTGGAACAGAACTGAAGAAACAAACAAAAAAAAACCTTCCAATAACCTGGGAAGAATGAAAGCATTTAGGAAAACAAAGCACAGAGGGAGAAGTAAATAACTTATAGAGGCAGAACAAAGGCATAAAAATGTTCATCAGAGATCAAAAGGCTAGACATGTAAGTTATACTGGCAGCCAAACAAAAAAATAGCTTTTTTTGGCTTTGTTTTGTTTTTGGTGAGTCAATCGGGGTTAAGTGACTTGCCCAGGGTTACACAGCTAGTAAGTATCAAGTGTCTGAGGCCATATTTGAACTCAGGTTCTCCTGACTCCAAGGCCAGAGATCTATCCACTGTGCCACCTAGCTGCCTCCAGAGAAATAGCTTTTATGAAGGAATGTCCAGGTGATCCATAAACTTAGATCCTGTGGATTATATCTGTGGGACTACAGTGATTGATGACAACTTCCTATGCAATTATGGAAATAATCGCCGAGGAACAGAACACAATATATTATCTGTTTCAGAGTAGTTGAAAGCCTTATTATCTAGAGTAATAATTGTGTAATATATTTTGGCCATAATATCATAAAAATCAATCTTTTTCTTTTAAAAAGTTTGTGACAATGAGTTCATTATGTTTTAAGAAAAATAATTTCACTGGAAACATTTTTATTTTTATGAAGTACACAAATAAGAAAGGACTTGTGATATACAAATGTAATACTTTTTTCAGTATGGCTAATGCCAACATCACCAGACAATTAAATATTCTTTTATTCTGCAATATTCTCACTCATGAATATGAATTTTCTTATGTTTACAACTCAACTAACGAAAACAAAGTGCTACTTATCCAATTTTTTAACTCTATCAGATCAGAATAGCTGCTTTTGTGAACCAGCATGACTCTGAAACAGTATTTGTTAGTTAACTCCTGGTGAGGAGCTAGGAAAAGGACACAGCTCTAAGTCCCTATGTTTACTAGCTCACTGTCGTAATATAGCAAGAAAACAGAATACAAAACATTTTTTTTCCCTTGCATACACCTTAAAACAGGAGCAGCGAAGATTATCTTTTTGGCTTTTAGTTTAAAGCTTCCATGAGCTAATTTAAAAACACTGTATGATACCCAAATAGTTAAGCCTCTATCAAATTCAGTTGACTTTAAAATCTGGCATATTCTCAAACTATCATTTTAAAGTAGTGTACCTTTAAAAACAAAATAATTTCCATACCAGAAATTTGAAAAATGAGAAACTAAAACAAGGAATTAGAAACACTATGTACTAAAAATCCATTTTATATAAGAAAAAAAAAAAGAAAAATTACTCCTAGGAATAATCATTGAAGCAAAATAAGCAGATAAACTGGATGTTTATAATATAACCCAAGCAGATGAAGGTCTAAAAATAAGAACAAGATAAAAATAGAACAGAACATCTTACTAGCCTTTCTATTTTGATTTCTGTTCATATGCCACAAAAAAGGCAGAATCACTAGTTCACTAAGGTAATAGCCTGGAAAAAATTAACATATGGATCCTTTCTACTTAGTACCAAAATTCAACCTGAAGCCCTTAATCAGGCCCTAACATCTCTTCTGAGATCCATTCTTTTCAACTGCCAAACTGTCAATCTGAGACTTTGATTCAAATGTTTACGGCTTCATGTGGAAACCTTTAATTCAAAGACGTATATTTTTTTTTAAGGAAAGAAATGTCTTTTAAAAAAGGAAGTCTTTTTCCTTCTTCTATAGATTTAAGGCAATATAGACTCAATAAGCAGGTTTTTTTCTTTTAAAAAACTAGTAATTCTTGAAAGATATCCAAGGAACATGTCAATGCTACTGATATAGGTTCTTAATTTTGATGAAAAGTCTCTTCAATTTCAAACATTTAAATAATAGTAAATTTATGAAAAATCTTTACTTCTAGAGTTGCATCTAAATTGACAATGATTAAACACAAGTTTTTCAAATATTTTAAGTCAACAGATTTACAGAAATGTGGTGAGATTTACCAAATTATACTCACAATCTCATCTCCTGGTAACCAATAGCCTTCTTGTTCAATACCAGCTTTTGAACCTTTGCAGCCCACAGTTAGGGTCTCCACAATAAGACCATCTTTCACTGCTAAGCTCAGCTGACGTGTTGTTTCTTTTGGATGCATACCATGGACTCGAGACATATACCTAAACGCAGTGGAAAAACACATTGTAAATGCTTTACTCACTTCTTTGGCAACAATAAATAATGAATAAAAGTAACATAAAAGAATGTTTTCAGCCATCCTTTCCCTCAACTTGTTGTACCTTCAATCAGAGTTCAAGAATATGAAAAGTAAAATGGAAAACTCTGATTCTTTACTCTGACTACTCCCACAGAATTTCTGCCTCACAAAATGCTCTTCTGTGTATCTGTGCGGATTATAAATTTAAAAATGGTCTATAAATAGCAAGCACAAGTCACTTAATAGATCTCAGCCAAAAATTCCATTTATTCTTAGGTTCATAGCAATGACCATTCACAGCTTTTATATTTAAGGATTGTCCTTTTTGCTCTGTGAAAGCAGAATACAGAACACAAAAATCCATTTCTCAAAACTTAAAAATGAGAGAGCCAAAGAAAATGCAGGAATTATAAGTTTAGTCAAGAGGAAAAGAAAGTTGTCATTAAGAAAAATTCATTTTCAATTGAAGTTGGTCTTTGGATGCCTAAAACACTGAAAATGACTCAACTTACAAACAGGTAATTATTATAAAATTTATAAGGAACTTTGAACGTGTTTTCCTATGAAAACAGGGATATAAATTGTGGTTCTCAGGCTAATCACAGCATACATTAACTATAATGTGAATGAAAAGCAATCATTTTTAAAAAGGAGAAAAAACACTGTCATAGATACAGCATTGCAACTTCACTTTCCATATAGTGATTCATCTCCACCATCTTCCTTTTGCCCTTGCTGCTGCCTTCCTTTTAACCACCTGGCACATCATCTCAGATTGGAGAGCCAGAAAAATACTTTAGTTCTTATGGGAATTAGTCCACTGACCTTTGGAATTCATATTCTGAGTCAAACTGTTTTGATTGGTGGATTAAGTAAGCACAAACCAAGTCCACAATATCTAGCCAGGTCCAGATCATGATTTACATCCATCAGACCTTCCCTCCTCCAATTTTGCCATCCATCCTCCTGTTACATCATACCCGTGAAAGTTCTTCTTGCTCTAGGCTTAGTAACCAAATCAATACTACCATCCTACCTTCCCCCCCTTCCCAGAAAGGGCATTCCTATGAATTCCTAGAGACACACTCTTCCCTGGCAACCACTTCTATATGTGTTGTCACTTCCTATTTGAATTGTATTTGTATCTCAGGTGCTTAGCACAGTATCTGGCACATAGTGAATGCTTAAAAAAATGCTTTCCCTCTTCTACCCTAAGGATTTGCATTTCGGAAAAAGCAAAAGATTCAGTAACACTATAAGAGATTGCTAAGGAATTAAAAATGACACAAGCCTCACAAGGATCTCCATCTACAGACCCAGATTGTCTGAACATCTTCATTTGGTTGAAGAAGAAATTTTAGTAAGCAATGTAGAAAATGGAACAAAATATCTGCTCAAAGACATTCAAAAGAGAAATAAGAAATGAAACCCATCCCTCATCACAGTAGAGGAGACTGTGTGGTGCAGGGCCAGAATGCCAGGCTGAGCATCCTGAGGTCTGAGGCTCAAGTTGGTTCCGATGCTGTGATGCTTAGCAGGTTATTTAGTAAATTTCTGGAACCTCAGGACTCCCCAGACTTATAAGACACCTAATCATCAGATGGAACATAACTTTTTCCTGTATTGGACAAATGCATTTCTGTTAAGTGACAAGAGGTGATAAGGAAACATTCTCACTCCCACACTACTTCCCACTCAAGATAGGCTGACAGGTCTAAGTCGAGAATGAGAAGATGAAGAAAAGATGAGGAAACTGGATGGGAGAGACAGAAAGAAGAAATGAGAGAATAGGTTTTGAGGAGGGAAGCAGAGGAAACTCTTGTTTCCCAGGTGTCAGAATCCACGTCTTCAAGGTCTTCTTGTTGCCCAGGCATCTGTCTATCCCAGGACCCATGTCTAGCCATTCTGCCTTCATGATCACAGCAAGAAAGGAACATACTTCCTGTTGTGCTCACCATTCTCTTAGTCAACCTGCCTGGGGGACACATAGTTCCACTGGAAAAATGTCTGCTCCCCTTTTCTTCCACCAGCCCAGTATGTAGCTAGAAGAGAATACAATGGCAAAGAAAATAATTCTCACTTGATGGATTTCTGGCATAGTTTGCTCCTGATTTGATGATCTCATATGTTTGAAGCCAGGTTGTCCCTATTCCTGGAATGAATTACCTCCTCCTATTGGCTTCTTAGCATCCTTAACTTCAAGGAAGTTCATGTGTCAGTTTCTAAGCCTTTCTTCAGCCATATAGCTAGCCCTAGTCTTTCTTGTGAGTTCCTGTCCTGCATCACCAACTACTATTGGACGGGTGAAACTGGATGTTCTGCAGGCGTTTCAAACTCAACATGGCTAAAACAGAATTCATTATCTTTCTTACCCAAACCAGTCCCTTCTGAAGTTCTTCATTACTTTTGAAGGCACCACCATTCATCCGTCCAGTTACTCCGGTTTGCAATTTAGGTGTCATACTTGACTCTTCACTCTCACTCAACTAATGTATCTAAATAGATGCCACATCTTGTTGTTCCTATCTTACTAAGATCTTTCCTATATATTCTTTTCTCTCCATTTTCAAGGCCATCACACTAATTTAGGACTTCATCCCCTCTCATCTGGACTACTAAAACAACCTCCTAACAAGTTTTGCCTCACATCCAATACATCTTTTACTTCAATACATTCTCCACACAACTGGCAAACTAATTTTCCCAAAGCATAAGTCTATATCATCCCTAAACTTGCTTGTCATTTAGAGCTCTTTACAACCTAGCTTCATCTAGTTTTTTAGTCTTATCACCAACTACTTCTCTTTACACAATTTATGGTCCAGAAAATACTGACCTATTGGCTGCTTCTCACATGACACTATATCTTGCTTAATAAATGGTACTACTCACTCATTCTGTGCTTTTCGGGAGGGGGGGAGGGGAAGGAGGTTGGCCCTCATGCCTGGAATGACCTCTTATCTCGTAACTCTTCGAAGTCCCTGATGTCTTTCAAGATTTAGTTTAATTTCCTCTGTCTTAATTAGATCTTTCTTGGTCTTACTTCCCACCCCCCGCCTGCTGATGCCATCCCCTTCTATCTGCTTTTAAGGTGTTTTGCATATATTGGTGTGTGTGTGTGTGTGTGTGTGTGTGTGTGTGTGTACACACACCTATATAGTACATGTTATTTTCCTGGTAGCTATTTCAAACTTGTTCCTTAGTCCTCAAGCTGCTCACCATACTCCCTCCCCATACCCTTCCCCATACCCTCCCTAAGAACCTCACTTTCTCTGAAAAAATTGTGACCATTCTGACAGCTCCCTCTTCACCCTTCACCCTCATCTCAGGTTACTCAGAAATTTTCCTCTATTGTTTTTCCTTTCATTCCTGTCTGATGAAGAGGTGGTCCTTCTCCTTGCCAGGGCAAACTCCTGTAATGTACCTTTGATTCCAACCCCTCCCATCTTCTTCAACATATTCCCTATCACCCTCATTCCCTCTTCCCTATCTATTAGCTCCTTCCCTATAAGACACACTCCCATTCTTAAAAAACAAAAACAACCCTTGCTTCATTTGGCCACCCCCCATTTATTGTCTGATATCTCCTCCTCTTTGTGGCTAAAATAAATGAGAAAGCTGTCTATACTAGGTACTTTCACTTCCTCTGGTTTCACTCATTTCTAAACCCTCTGCAATTTGCCTTCTCACCATTAAGCTGCCTTCTCCAAAATCACCAATGTTTTCTCAGTTGTTAAATTTAATTTCTTCACAATCCTCACTCTTGAGCATGCTGTAGCCTTCACTATCTCCTCCTGAATACATGTTCTTCTGGGTGTGTGTGTGTGTGTGTGTGTGTGTATGTGCACGCGCGTGCGTGTGTGAAATGGTTCTCTTCCTACTTGTCTGATAATTCCTTCTTGGTGTCTTTTTCAGGATCTTTGTCCAAGTCATAGCCATTAATTATAGGTGAATCTTCAAGAGTCTGTGCCAGGCCCTCTTCTCTTCTCCCTCTATACTATCTCATTTTGTGGTCTCATCAGCCTCCACAGGTTCAAGTTATCATCTCTATGAAGATGACTCTTAGATCTGCACATACAGTCTTGTTCTCTAATGTGAGCTCTAGGGTTGCAACCCCAACAATCTTTTAGACATCTTGTACTGGGTGTCCCGGAGGCATCTCAAATTCAGTATGTCCCAAACAGAATCCATTATTCTGCCCCCCCAATCCTTCCTCCTCTTCCAGACTTTTTTATAGTAGAGGTACCAACCACCATCCTTACCTCCCAGTAACCCAGGATTGCAATCTCAGTATCATCTTCCTCTTTTTCCACATACGAAGCCACTGTTCTACTACAGGCTCTTATTATCTCTCACCTAGAGCATGGCAAGAAGCTTTTAACTGGTTTCTGTGCTTCAAGTCTCTACTCATTCCTATTTATCCGCTACTCAGCTGCCAATGTGATTTCCCTATAGTATAGGTCTAATGTTGTATCTCCCAAGTCTATCTACTACAGTGGTTCTCCATCACCTCTAGAATCAAATATAAAATGCTCAATTTGGCAGGTAAAGCCCTTCACAACCTGGCATTTTCCTACTTTTCCATTCTTCTTACATTTTACTCTCCTTCATGTACTCACAATCCAGTGAAACTGACCTTTTTGCTGTTCCTAGTAAAAACAAAAATAAAACAAAACTCTATCTCTCCAGACTTTGTGCCCTAGCACTGGCTGCCCTGCATGCTTGGAATGCTTTGCCCCCTCAACTCTATCTTGTACCTTTCTGGTCCTTCCTGAGTCTAGTGCCTTCTATCTATTTATTCTCTATATATCTTGCTTGTACATGTTTATATGTCATTTCTCCCATTAGAATGTGAACTTCTTGAGGATGGAACAGTACTTTTGCCTTTTTTTTAATCCCCAGCAGTTAGTACAATGCATGGCACCTATTAGGCACTTAATAAATGGTTGCTTACTGACTGAA